GAATGGTTTTGCTATATATAAAATAGAAGAAAAATCAAAGGCAAATTTCTCAAAGCAGGGAGTCCAAAGTGATGAATCTTGGGGCCAACAGGGGGTGTGGTGGTTGGGGTGCTGGAGTCTCATGTGCTACTACATTTTGAGTCTCAGACCTGGTGGCTTGCTTTCTCACTTGCTTTTCTCTCTCTCTCTCTCTGTGAGTGTGTGTCTGGTGAGTGTGCATGCTCTATAGCAAATTAAAAAATAATAAATAATAAATAAAATTAAATTATTTAAAAAATAGACGTGATGAATCTTATCCTTGCATGCTCTTTGGTATGATAAAGCTTCATCTAGGAGAGGAGCGGAACTTCAAGCATGAGAGCAGTGGTGGGCATTCAGAGGTGAAACTCAGGACCCTCAGAGTTGGAATGGTCCATTCCCATTGGTTAGGAACTGGGCTTTCTAGGTGCCAGATGTTACAGGGGACAATAGGGCAGGGCTAAAGAGTCTACATATACTACTTTGTATTCTTCTCAAGGCTGATGGTTAAAGGCTGTTTCTCTACATTTCTAAATTCGAGGTTACATTTTTATAGGAAGGTCAACGATACTGATTTCTTTCACTAGATTATAATGTTATAGTTTACTCTATTTTTGCTTTACATAATAGTGTTGTACAATAATGCTCCCATTTGGCGAGAATTTAGTATTTTAGAATGTGCTTTGGGTTTCTTTTCACTGCAGAATTTACCTAGTTAACAGTCAGTGGTGTTTTCAGAATTTCTAAGCAGGAGTTTAAGGACAACCATCTGACTGCAAGGAGGTGCCCAGAGGACTCACTTTGAAGTGGTGTTTGTATTTAAAAGTCTCCTGTGTGTTTCAATCATATGTTTTACTTTTTAAAAAGAGTGTCAGTTTGAGGATTTTTTTTTTTTTAATTTATCAGAGGCCATGTGCACTTGCTGGAGAAAGGAAGAGGGAATGTGAAAAAGTACCCCATGGGAAATGGTCATGCCATGATCCCTTCTCCATCTTTCCCTCCTCTCAGGATTTTGGGCATACATGCACATGTGTCTGGCATATTTTCCAGGCCACTGGTCTGGGAAATCAAACTGTAGTCAGCATGTAGGATCCAGAGGCCTTACTTAACCACCACGCCACAGTTAAAGAATTTTACTGTTTTTTAATTTCCTTTCCAATTTTTAGATTATTTGCATGGTTAAGGATGGGGAGTGCAGGATACTGGTGGAGAGCCATTACAGGGCTAAATCCTGCTAGCTTCCCCAGTGCACAGTTGCTGATGGTGTCCCACCATGGTTAATCCCTTAAGCTCTGTCTCTGAATTACCTTTCAGTTGGTCCCTGCTACACTACACTGCATCAACCCTTGAGAGTGCCACTGAACTGAGAGCAGAAACCCTGTGTTAGTAATCAGTTCACAAGCTAGGATTCACAGTCAACAAAGCACACATTGCATTAACAGATTTCCCTTGAGCCCAGCAGTCTTTTGGAACATCTCAGGGTAAGAAAGGCTGATGGACAGGGCTTGAGAAGTATTGGACATAAATGAAGAGTGCATAGGATACTATTTGTAAGAACTGATTTGCCTGAAGTCACATGATTTGAGCAATAGTGTGACTGATGACACCTGCCCTGGCTCTTCCCTCGTTTTCTCAAAGGGTTGCAAAGCAAGGCAGCCAGTTCACATGGAGTAGGTTACAGCGTCTGACCGAGACGTTGCTCCGTGTGAAAGCACGTGCCAAGGGAGTTGGGCGCCATCACTCAGCATGCAAGCTGTGGCCCTAGAGGACATCTGGGCAGGGCTTCCCACAGCCTCTGCTATGACCCAGCTTTACTCCATCACAACACAACTACTTATTTTTTCTTTTGTGTATTTCTGTTCTCCAGCTGAGCCTAGACTGTGGTTTTATAAAAGGAAACAAGGACATTTATATATGTGAATACATGCATGTATCTATACGCATTGATAGGTAAATTATGGTTGCCTAACTATCATATTTTGTCAAGATAGCTCTTCCTTCAAGCTTGTTTTCAAGTGCATTGTGATAACGGAAACTATTCAGGGATGAAACTGCCCATAAATCTAGTGTTCAAAGGAACAGAGTTAAACAAACTGGATCATTGAAGTTTAAATTTGATCACAGGAATTAAAAATATTTGCAGAGAATGACATTTCATAATGCTACTTGCAGGGTTTAGGATTCCTGGCGAAAAGGCAATGGTTTCTTGATGCCTGCTATGTAGGTCTGATTTTCACTGTGGGTCACCCTTTATATTTTCTTGCCTTCTACTCCTTCCTTTTGCAAGTTCACACTATTTTATTATTAAAGGAAGGTTATAATTAAATTATTCCATTAAAATTGAATGAAAACGTACATAGCTTAGAAAAACTATGTATTTCACAAAGATGCACACTGATGACATGTAAACTAAAAATCACAAATTAAAAAAAGAGAATTATGGAGCATTATGTCTACTGGGACTTATATAATCAGAATTTTCAGCATAATTTGAAACATGATTCTAGTATGTGTTTTTGCATGCACAGAGAGACACGTTTGATTTATCTGTCTACCTACCTGTCTACCTATCAGTCATGTAATCTATCTCAGTGGTGTGCTAAAGCCAGCTCCTACTGCTTCATAGAACTGACACATATCTTTCCAGGAGTTTTGCAAACTAGATAACACTGGTAGTTTGAAAATGGCTATGGAGAGAATATTTAAACCATGGAAACTAGTAAATGATTTAATCAGGGAGTTTTTTTTCCTCTCAGAAAGCAAGCTGTTAATTACAATACCAAAAATATTATTGTAGATTTGATCAAGCAGAGGACCACATGCATAGTTCAGTCCACAATGGAAGTAAAAATCCCTTTTCTAAAATACAAAAAAAATTAAAAGAAGGTTTTTGGCAATTTAATTTAGTCAATAGGCTCATAAGTAATCTTACATATCACCTATTTTCTTATTAAATGTTTTAAAATAAAAATAGGGTCTAATTATTTTTTATCTGTTGAATACATTCTGGACTATTTATACAAAGCTAATTTGGAACAACTTGACTTATTTCCCCTGTATTTGTGTTTTATAGGTAGTTGCCAAACTATAAGCTAAATAAATATTAATGAGTATCTAAACTATTTGAAGAATAGATGAATCAAACTTTCCTTGCTGAGACAGCTTTTGTGTGTTTATCTTTTGTAAACGCTGTCATTTAGTATTAGTGAGCTATTTTGTATTCAGTTTATGTGTTTTCATATGTACACATAAATCTCAACAAATTAGGGTAATGGGATTTCTGGTTCCTTAAATACTCAACTTAATAGTCAGGGATGACTTGTGTTAAAATTTGTGGCAGGTTTATAAATGGATATTTGATCCGGTCAAACAGTTGTTTATCCTTTTTTCGATCAAAGTTCAAAATGCCCTCATTTCTATTTTTTCCCTTTGGATTAACAATGTATTGATCAATAGTTCAAACGTGTACACTCATGGTTCAGTGAATGCTTTGTCCAGCAGACACATGTGCTGAGTGTGAATTTAAGTGTATCTGTTAGATTTATTTCTAAGAATGTGCTGAGATCAGGGAGGGCTGCTAAGCAAGCTACATGGGCATAGTTCAGTCCACAATGGAAGTAAAAATCCCTTTTCTAAAATACAAAAAAAATTAAAAAGAAGGTTTTTGGCAATTTAATTTAGTCAATAGGCTCATAAGTAATCTTACATATCACCTATTTTCTTATTAAATGTTTTAAAATAAAAATAGGGTCTAATTATTTTTTATCTGTTGAATACATTCTGGACTATTTATACAAAGCTAATTTGGAACAACTTGACTTATTTCCCCTGTATTTGTGTTTTATAGGTAGTTGCCAAACTATAAGCTAAATAAATATTAATGAGTATCTAAACTATTTGAAGAATAGATGAATCAAACTTTCCTTGCTGAGACAGCTTTTGTGTGTTTATCTTTTGTAAACGCTGTCATTTAGTATTAGTGAGCTATTTTGTATTCAGTTTATGTGTTTTCATATGTACACATAAATCTCAACAAATTAGGGTAATGGGATTTCTGGTTCCTTAAATACTCAACTTAATAGTCAGGGATGACTTGTGTTAAAATTTGTGGCAGGTTTATAAATGGATATTTGATCCGGTCAAACAGTTGTTTATCCTTTTTTCGATCAAAGTTCAAAATGCCCTCATTTCTATTTTTTCCCTTTGGATTAACAATGTATTGATCAATAGTTCAAACGTGTACACTCATGGTTCAGTGAATGCTTTGTCCAGCAGACACATGTGCTGAGTGTGAATTTAAGTGTATCTGTTAGATTTATTTCTAAGAATGTGCTGAGATCAGGGAGGGCTGCTAAGCAAGCTACATGGTGGGTTGTACAACATAGTATCTCTGAATAAGACAGACCCTGAGCTATGCTGGGCAGAGAAGGAACAGAGGGAAAGAATGATTTCTGATGCTGGAGATAAATAGTGAGAACGAAGGACTTCCAAAGTCAGTTATCGTTGAACAAGGACAGTCTAGGCACAGGACACCAAAAGTTTGCCTTTTTTTCCTAGATACTGATGTCCCCACATCCCTTAGACACAACCCTCTGGCATGCAGGATCTTAGATGTAGAAATGGAGAGGTAGACTGATTCTGAGCCCTCAGACCATTCCTCAGAAATCCACTTAAAAACTTAAATCCAGGGCCAGCCAGCAGGTGGTGTGGTGGTTAAGGCACTGGACACCCACGTGGTCCACCATGGCTCACGGTGCCTGGCTGCCTGGCCTGACAGCTTGAAAATCACACCAGGCACATGTGAGCGCATGCCCAAAATCCCAGGAAGAGAATGGAGAGAAAGGGATTGCAGTGCGGCCATCCCACCAGGGGACAATTTCTCACTTTCCCTCTCAATGTCTCTCTGTCTCTTTCTCATGAGCACACGTACCCTGTGGCAAAAAAACAAAAACAAAAACAAAACAAAAACAAAACCCAATACCTTTAAATCCACAAATTTAATTTTTCAGTTAATTTGCTCCTTTTTGAGAAAAGCAGAGTCCAAGACTTTTTGGATAATTACAAATTCTGGTCTTATGATGGCAAATCAGGCAGAGACATGGAATTGTTGCAGAAGTATCAGCAAATTGTCCAGCAGTAGTTCACGCATGCAGCTACTATACATTCATTCACTAGTATTTTCCTAAGAAATGAGCCACCTAGAAGCTCATGCCACAGCAGAGTCCAATTAATCAGTACGATCACTTCAGGAACAAAGAAGCACATTTACAAAGATGTGATATCCTTCTGCTGGTTCAAGCTTTCAAACCTGATATTCTTGAAAATGTATGAATGAGATTCTAGTTAAATACTGATATAGATGCCACGTTCAAAAACCAGTGACTTCTTTGTTAAAATGCAATACTGAAATGGAATACTGTCTTTTCGTAAAAATAAAAAAAAAATGTGCTTGGAAAATTAAATATATTTTTAAAAAAACTAAAAATAAACATACTCTCATAGCTTGGAGGTTTGAATGAACCCTGTACCAAGGAGTTGAGAAAACTCCTACTGTGGGTTACTTTCTCGAACCCCTAGCACTCAAAAGCTGCTCAGGGAAGTTGACTTCAGCAGTTCAGTGGCATCTATCTATGCGATCATGTTTCATTCAGACACCATTTTAGCACATCCCACACAACACAACATGGCTTTTCATGACAAATCACTGTTATGCCGTGCAAACTGCTTTAAGGGCTTTTTTTTTTTTTTTTTTTTTTGTATAAAAGAGTTTTGCATTTAGAGTTCAATATCACAATTAAGCATGTTCTGCTAAAATTAAAATTAATTCATTCAGTGCACTTATTTTTAAACGACGAGTCTATCTTAATTCTCTACCCTGGATAGAATTTGAGCTCAATTGCACTATTTTTCCAATCATCTTGGAAAAACACTTTCTAAGTACAGAACTCCACACAAAGATGTTGAATGTATTCTCTGTGATTTAATCCTGTTTTCACTCCATATCAAATAGGAACTCTAGTGGAAGAAAATTTTCTCATTTGAATTGAGGGAAGTGACCTTTTTCAGGTAATTGCTCTTTTGGCATTTACAATGCTGACTGTCTTGCTAAACAGGAATATCCATCAGGAATCAAGGGAAAAACCTTAGTTTACAATGTTTTTGAAGGAAATGTTTCAATGATCATAAAATAATCTTTTCATTCATTCCTAAATACTTCAAATGATGATCTAAACATATTTGTACAGGTTATTCTTTTTCAAAACACTTGTAATTTTGCTTACTCAACAGAAATGAGTAATTATTTAAACATATTTTTCATCATTTTATAAAATAAATCTTTGTGGTATTGTTATTGGATCATGCACGATCTGTCACTTTCCAAGTGATTAATCCCTGATGGATTAATAAGAGCTATGTGACCAGAATATTAAATATTTATAAATTTCTTGTCACATATCTGAGGCAAACCTGAGGATAGATCATTGACTAATTGTTATTTTTTCTTCTTCTAAGATATTTCATTTCTCCATTTTCTTTTTTAGTGGTCTTTTGAAGAATCCAATCTGTTGAGAAAATACAAAAAAACCCACAATTAATTATTTTGATTTAGGTAATAAATATTAATATATTTGGACAAAATATAATTGAATAATATATTGGAAATTCTGATAATATAATTAATTGATATAGTTGAATAGCATTTTTTCATTAATCTATTATTAATCTGAAAATGTAGTTCCTCATGCACTATTCATATTCTTGGGTGAGGGAGGGATAAAGAAGAGCAACTAACACTTCACCATTTTTTAGTCTTTCATACAATAGCATGAACTTATTCATTTAACTTTTATTTCATGTTATATTCATTAAACACCTAGTTTTTGCCAGATAATGTTTAGTAGAACCCTTGTCAAGAAAATGACATTCATCAAGTTGCTATTTCATTTTTGTACTTTTTTTGTTTGCTACATTATCATATCTCCAAGCAGAACATAATACTTGTATTTAATTGACTTAAAGCGTTCTGAGAAAATGTTTTGAGAGACATAAAATTGTAGTTAGCTAGTTGGCTTGCACTGTCTCTATTTTGTCATCTTTTTTTCCTTCCATGGATATGGCAGAGAAATTTCCATCAGATTTCTTTAGTTTATTTATTTATTATTTATTTTTTAGAGGGATTTTTTGCTATAGGGTGCATACACTCACTGAAGAGACAGAGAGAAACAAAAAGTGGGAAATCACCCCCCCAACAGGGGTGGCCATGTTGTAATCCCCTCTCCATTGTCCTCTTGGGATTTTGAGCACATACACACATGCCCAGCATGAGTTTTAAGCCTCCGGGTCCAGGTCCGGGACTTGAACCATGATCGAATATGTGAGAGTCCAGCAATGTAATCATTATACCATCTGCCGATCCCTCTTCAGTTTATTTTCTTAAGTTAAGGTCATTACTGCAGATAAAGAATCTGGGAGGTATACCATAGCAATGGCGTTAGAGAGATTTCTGAGTTATCTGGATTAACTGAAAATGTGTTAGAACATCTCCCCAGTTGGCTTGATAACGAGCCTCTTTAAAAAATGCTGTGCCATAGGGATATGAAAATACAGCCACTGACTGTATGAAAAAAACTCACATAGTAGGGAATGTGAGTAGCACTTCATTATGCTTCGTAATTCAGGGGCCACCATAAAAAGTTACAGTGCTCTATTTATTTCCTAGGTATACACTAACAAAAATAAATATAGAAGCGTGGAGGAAGCTTCACAATGATCTAATACAAAATGCTTATTTTTTTTAAAAAGGAATTTAAGGGTCATAAAGAGTGGCTTTTCAAATTCGTGATTTTTTTTTTTTTTTAAGAGCGGGCCCGCAGTTGGCATAATGGCTGTGTCACTGGATTCCCGTATAGTTGACCACGGTTCGAGTCCCATATCTGGTGGCTTAAACTCACACCAGGTACATGTGAGTGAGTGCCCAAGATCCCAAGAGGAGAATGGAGGAGAAGGGATTGTGGCACGGTCATCCCCCCTGGGGGAGAGATTTCTTGCTTTCTGTCTCTCTTTCTGGCAAACACACACACCCGATAATAAAACCTCTTCAAAATAAAAAGAGTGGGCTATACTAGATTAAACAAAGGCAAGGACTTAATTATTTGAAAGTGGTATCTCTGTGTCATTTTAATCATGAAGTTACAGTAAATTATTTGAGGGAACTATGTATTTTTTAGATAAATGTTGAACAATGGAGGGCGTAGAGAGGATAAACAGTCAAAAATATGTACTGATAGATTAGAGAAGTTTTACTTGGGGTTAGAGAAGTTTTACTTGGGGCTATGTCTTTTACCATGTCCACATCTGTTAGGTCATCAGCAAAGTCATAATGTATTTTTCTATGCAAAAATACATCATGACTTTCCTGATGACCCATAGTGGGTAGATGAAGAAAAAGGTGGTAACAGAACAATGAACAAGAAAACAGTAAGTGGGTCTTCTGCAGAATGCAGTTCTATATGACTCATTCCTTTTCTTGTGAGCCAGCTGTAAAAGTTGCAAATTCACAAACCATGAGGCTCCTTAACTTGTGCCTGCATGTCCCAAGCTAAGTTGAAAACAAATGAGACAAGACTTTCACAAAAGCTGGTGGTGAATGGTAAGACTGTTCTCGTTCCTGCTCTGCCTAGCTTTTGATCTCTCCCTGCCTCTCATCTTAGCTCTTCAGCCTGTCTTTGCTTCTACACATTAAATGTCTATTATAAAACTTCTGTTATGTAAACTCTCCCACCCAACCAACTCTGCCAACAATGGGTTTTTAATGGCAGTCTGAGATTAAAATGGATACTAGGAGAATATAGTTTATGTCTCCAAACCGGACGGTGCCAATCCTAGCTAACATCTGAAACAAGTAAAGTTTGTTTTCAGCTTCCGGACTTTCCTTATAGCATTCACTTTCCGTTTGTCCTTCCTGTATTTGTTAAAGGAGCCTTTTAATACTCCCTTAGTTCAAAACTCTATGGTAAAGAGTCCAGCTAAACATTCCCTGGCCGAAAAAAAAAAAAGAAAGCATTTAATAAATATAAAATAAAATGAAAGTTGAATGAATAAGTTCATACTAATGTATGAAAGACTTAAAAAATGGTGAGGTGTTAGGTGCTATTCCTCATCCCTCCCCCACCCAGGATATAAATAGTGCATGAGGAACTAAGTTTTCAGATGAATAAATAAAACATCCATGGTGGAACTTTAGGCATCTCCTCGTACAACATCAAATGAGGAGAGAGGAACATCTGCTTTCTCAGAGTCTCTCTGTGGGCTGTCATTCTACTCTGTTGGTTCACTGGCCTGACTGGTCATCACTCTCAACATGCAGTAACATATTTTAGGACAAATTTCTCAGCCTAACAGGAAACTTCAACAAGTGTGTGGAAAAAATGGGATTAAAGTGTGCATTTATTTTGCTGCAAAAACATTTGAAATCCATGCGTAGTTTTTGCATAGTGCGCATTTCCCATGTGCTTTTTGAAGACCCCTCATATTTATACCCATGTTTCCTCCTTTGGGAGAAAGAAGAAGGAATCGTTTCTGAGGTGTCTGTTCCAGATATAATTAGTATTTAAAAATGCCCATAGATGAGAGTGGCTCTTGTGCGTTTATCGCAGACTGTACACATACTTCAGGGAGATTCCAACATACTGTAAAGAAGGGGGAGGAGGGATTAAGCTTTTTGGTACGAAGGAGCTGCTGAAAGTCTGAATCCAACCAGAGATCCTCATTCCCAAACCAAGTATTTTTAGTGTTGCACAGAGTTCATGACCCTCTTGAACAAACCCCAAGTCCTGGAGCTCCTGAGTGAAGAGCCCTGCCCCTCAGCCTGCAGCCATGAGATATATTCAAATGAATGGGCTTTGCAGAAGCGATCACTGCCTGAACCCCGTCATTTACTAGCTAGTAATCCTGGAAGAGTTACTTAACCTCTCTGCTTTAATGTTCTCGGGTATAAAATATGGTTAAATAACTTGATAGAAAAGGTGCTGTAAGGACAACAGAGTGAACGAAAGCAAGAGAGAACATAATGTGATAGTTAACAGTGTTGGCCTAGAATTCAGATCTTTACTCTGAAACTGACTAACCACCTGGCCTTGAGAAACATACTTTGCTGTGCCTCAGCTCCTTCATGAAATAGGATTTTATAGTGTCTACCTCATAGGGCTGATGTGAGTATTAAGTGGGAATCCTTAAAGCAAACATGCTTAGGACAGTTTCTGGCACATATGAGAGGTTCTCAGAAAGTTCATGGAAAATGTGATCATGAATAATTTAGGTGTGGATTTCAAAAATTTTTTCACCCAAATAAACTTGTGCTTTAATTCCATTTTTCCATGAATTTTTCAAATTCCTCCTACAGCGAGTGCTCATAAGATCTAGCTCCCTTCCCTTTACCATGGAATGTTCTGATTGCTAGGTCTCCCACTGCAGCAGTTGAACTACTACACCTATAGGTCAAGCCAGTCTAGAATTTGTTATATGACTTTCTTTTGGATTTAAATAGATCTAAGACACCATCAGAATGTATTAACACAGAATGGGATAATTTTTAAAAATATTTATTTTTTAGACTAGTGACTATAAAACAGGTGGATGAACCTTCCTATGTTTATATAAGGCCAGAGAGAATCTGTCAATTCCCGCTTCCCTCTTCTTTTGTCAGTAGAATCCTAAAACTATACAGGGGAGTGCAGTGCACAGAGTAGAAGATCATACCGAAAGAAATCAACAATAACACATTTTATCAGAGGTGCACAGAAATGAGATCACGTTCTCTAGTTTAAGCACAACTGTGAGACCATTAAGCAAGGCCTTGGGTACCACAGTGTGGCTAAACTAGGAATTACAGAGAGAACACTGATCTTGCCAAGTAGGAGGGACAGTTTGGATGTGGGAGAAAATTCTGTCTTTGAGACTTTGCTGGAGAAAAGCCATAGGTCCTGTTACTGAATTAAATGTCACTGACCTACATCTTTAACATGGCTTGATCCATCCTATCCTCTGAGAGTAACCAGATTGGTAATTCAGTGGAAGGAAACTTACTATTTCTGATTCAATAATTCTCCTACTCATGTATTAGAAAAATGAAAATGTAGTCACAATCTGTATTTTTAACATAGTTTATTTAACAAAGCCGTAGGCACAACACGGGTACATTATGCTAGAATAAATGCCATTGTGAGATGTAATTGGAAAAGTGTTAAATTTAACTTTTTATGAATGTTATTTTCTATTATATTTATCCTAAAAGTATCATCTCAGTTATGCTTTATGCTAATTTGAAAATAATATACCTAAGTTTTTTTAACTACATATTTCAGTAATGCTCATGAAAAACATCTAGTTTAGCTGGCAGAAAAAGAAATGGTTACTCACGTTTTCCAAAAGGATTTGAAATTGGAGTCTGAAATATTATGATCTCCTTTACATCAGCTAACTAGTAAACCAGTCTCTATTCAGGTACAGAATTTATTGCAGAACCTATGGTAAGTCTTTTTATACATTAAAGAAGATTTTGATTTGTATAATACATAGAGATGTGTGATTAGGACAACGGCTTATCTGAATCATGAATCTACTGATTAAATGAGTAGGTAACCAAAAAGTTCATGGAAAGTGTGTTTTATGGAAAACTATGCATGAATTTCAAAAATTGTGTGCAAGGACATTTACTCATAATAATAAACTCATATTTAAATACCATGTTCCATTAACTTTTTGAAATCTTCTTATATGTCCTTAAACTGGCATAGAAATTCATCCTTTTATTTTTCTAACTAAGAGAGTTTTCATTCTTCTCTGTTTATAAAAGTAACACACAGTCATTCTAAAAATACAAATTTTGTAGACATATGGAGGTCCTTTATAACTGTAACCTTTAAATAGACCCTTCATGAATTTTGGATATGCTTACCACAAAATGATTTTTTTTTTGGTTTGCAAATATGTGATCAAATTATGCACATTTGAAATGCACACATTTCATTTTTCTTTTTATTTAGGTCATTATTCCAATGTGTGTTTCCTTGCTGTATTACAGCATGGATAAATAATAATTTATTTCACTACCTTGCTGTTAATTGGAATGTAAGGTGAAGTGCATTGTGGTGCTTACCTTCCACAGAGCTAGAATAAGCAGCATTAACAGCAGTAATCCAGCAAAGGCACTCAACAGGATAACCCACAGTGGCACTCGGCCTGGTGGTGCATCTTTGGATATCTGAATAGCAAGCTGAAAATTATTAAAGAAGATTGTTAACACCAATAAGCACCTGTTTGAGCTCCTGGAACACTGAGTTCTTGCAGGCTATCATTTTCTACCAAACAGTATGCTTCATCTCATTACTACAAACAGAGAAAACACCAAGTTCACATTTGAAAACGTCCTTCATGTAGTCTAAATTCTAATCATGTCAAATATACTATACTAAACTATACGTAGAATCTTAGATATCTATACAGGAAGACTAAAATGCCAATGAATCAAAGCTCTAGGATAGGAGTGAAATTCTGTTTTACTTGGGATGAGAATCAAAGTATTGCATGTTTTTTTTTTTTAAATGGAATTTGAAGATGTTTATTGTATTCTATTTTTGGTGGAAAGAAATGCAACATACATTTATTTATAAAATACACTAAGTTAAATTAGATAAGCATGTTCGTATGTCCAGTCTATTTTAAGTCATGGACTGTTCCACTGTAATAAATCTCTTGTAGTAGTTGGACACCAAGTTTAATATTAGTTAATCTTGAGAAGAAGCCGCGGGCCTTCAGAACAAGGTTCCACATGGCTACTGTGAACTAGATTTTTAAGGGAATGAAGATTTTCTACTAATAATTCAGCCTCCAACAAACGAGCTAGCGCAAGCACAATAGAACAGCAAAGAGTTTCTGGATCACCTCTGCCTGCTTGCTCCTGAACATTAAGGCTGAACCTCAAGAATTTGAAAGAAACACAACATCCATCAGATGACAAGAAATCACTGCCGGATCACGAGAAATGACAAGAAATCACCGCCGGATCACGAGAAACATGGGAAAACAAGAAAATACCTCTCCTCCTAGGGAAAAGAGTAACTCTTCATCCACAAGCAGTTCGGTGAAAATCATGGAAATGTCTGATAAGGAATTCAGATCATTCATAATGTCTAAGCTAACAGAGATGGAAGAGAAGAGAGATAATGAACTACTAAAGAGAAAGGAGAAAGAGATTGACGAGTTCCAAGAGATGAGGAAATGCCTGCAAGATCTAAAAGTGGAATTACACACTTTACAAAAGACTCAAACTGAACTGCTAGAGATGAAGTCTATAATACAAGAAGTAAAAATCTCCCTGGAAAGTATTAAAAGCAGACTAGATCATTCAGAAAATAGAATCTCAGATGTAGAGGAGAAAATGGCCGACCTAGAAAAATCCACCATGAAGACTGAGAAAATGGCACAAAAATTTGAGAATAATATGCGAGAAGTACTGGATACCATCAAACGTCCAAATATCCAGATAATTGGCATTCCAGAAGGTGAGGAAACCCATAAGGGCATTGATAATCTATTCCATGAAATCCTGCAAGAAAACTTTCCAAACCTAGAGAGGCATTCAAAGATCCAGTCCCAGGAAATACAACGGACCCCAAATAGAATCAACCCTAGAAGATCTTCTCCAAGACACATTATAGCCAGGTTGACCAAAACTGCAGACAAAGACAAGATACTAAGATTAGCAAGAGAAAAACATCAAGTTACCTACAAAGGACATCCCATCAGGCTAACAGCAGATCTCTCATCAGAAACAATAAAAGCGAGGAGAGAATGGGAAAATATATTCCAAGTGTTAAGAGAGAAGCAGTTTCAGCCAAGAATACTGTATCCGGCAAGATTATCTTTCAGGTGGGAAGAAAAGACAAGAACATTCTCAGATAAACAAAACCTGAAAGAATTTACCAGCACCAGACCAGACCTCCAAGAAGTTCTCAAGGATGTGCTGTATCAGGAAAACTAAACGCAGATACATGGAAATAAGAGTCCAAAAACTGAGAAAGTAGCTAACTTAATCATAGGGACAAGTCTGGAGTTGAATACTATATCCCAGAATTTAATCAGGAAAATTGAACCAGAACAGAAGATAAAAGTATATGAGACTGATAGGTTCATGCACCTACCATTTGAACAGAATCCTAACCTGTTTCCGGGCTTTAAGCAAAGTTCCTTGGCGGTTCTTTGATTTAAGTTAAAACTGGTTTTCTTAGTAGTAACGAGGGAACTCACCTTTGAAAGTAGTCAGGTTATGTAGGAAATTGTGTGATCAATGCAATGTGGGTGGGAAGGGAATGGAGGACAATTTTGGACACTAGAGGTGGTGTGAGAGGAGGGTGGGAAGGGACAGAGGGTCAGAAAGAGGGGTGGAATTAATTCTAGCAACTAGAAGTGGAAATTTATATTTTTTGTAATGTGCATGATTGAGTCACTATGCAGTGTGTACTGGATGGGAGATCGCATTTTGTGTGCTGTGATGATGCCTAGAGAAGGAATGTAAATTGAGTTACAAAAAAGAGTTTCAGGAAAACAAAATATATCTATTCAATGACTGCAGTAGGATATGTAGCCCCAGTTAGGTGCTACTTGATAGGATGCGTAAAGTTAGACTTGTGCTCATGGAAATGTGTCACATGTGTTTGCTAGGAGGGTATTTGGATTGATGAGGGTCTTTGGTGATTCAATAAAATGTTGGGGGGAAAATGGTATAGAAATAGATATAGATAACAGAGAAAGTGTGGGAGGAGAACAGGAGGTGGCAGAGGGTAAGAGAGAGGGAACCAAGGATGGGGGAGAAAAAGCAAAACATACAGAAAACAAGAAATGGAAGATCATTTGCTAATAATATGTTTGTTGATGTGCTTGATTGAGACAATATACAGTGTACTCTGGATGGAAAATCTCATTTTGTATGCTGTAATGATGTACAGTGAATGAATGCAAATAAATTGGAAAAAAAAATAGTCAAAAATAAATAAATAAATAAAAAAATTTAAAGAGAAAAAAAAAGAAAAAAAAAAAAAAGAAAAACGTGTGCCGAAGTTCACAGAACCACACGAAAAAAAAAAAAATATTAGTTAATCTTCTCCTCTTAGTATAGGCAGCAGTTCACCATTTTCTCACAGTTAACAATATCCAATCCTCCAACAAGCTCCCCTTCCACATATGAGGGTATGTTGGCCAACTTGAGTAAGCTTTCAATCCTTGTTGAACTTCTTCATCTTCCAAAATATCTAATGTTCAAATTCAACACCAGTACTATTCAGTATTTCCAGAATTTACTTGCTGAATCCACATTTTGCTTCCTGTTTGTTTTCTTTCATAAAGAGCATCACAGAAACTTTATTTGTCACCACTATGAGCCTTTCTTCTAATTTGGGAGCTTTGGGGCAAATTGTATCTAGTTCTTCAGATGCTTCTAGCTCCTTAATAATATCAAGTCCTCCTATGAGCTCTCCAGAAACACAGAGCTGAGGATAGATAGGTTAATTGAAACAGGCTGTAAGCCCCTACCTAGCTTCTTCATCTGAGAAGATATCAAAACTACTAAACTGAATATTATGCTTGTGAAGAATTTCCACCATCTGCTTGCTGAAACCACAGCATGGCTCTTGAGGAGCTCCCTTCATAAACAGCATAAGGGGGCAGCATGAGTTCATTTCTTCAAGCAAAGGTTGAGATCTTCTTTAGATCCTAGTGTTGTGTGGGATGGAGCCTCTAGATGCATGTCACTCAACATTTTTGGTTAACTCTGGGGCATATGCACCATCTAACCGGTCAATTTTCTGAGAATTCTTGAAAAACAGAAAGATGGGAACAGAACTAATTTCATATTTCTCAGATACTTTAGGAGCAGTGTCAGCTTCCAACTTCACAAATGAAACTTGAGGGTGTTCTTTAGCTAATTCTGCCCTTACATTGTTCATCTGTGCACACTCTGGAGCCCATTGTGCCCAGAAATGGATCACCGGGGACTTGAGACGCAGCAGCTCCTCAAACAGAGGAGCTGAGCTGACCTCCATCACCGCTGCTGTTGCTGCCTCAGCTGCCCCGCTGCGATGCTGTTGCCGCCAGAATATTGTATGTTTTAAAGATTAATTCATCATAGTCGATGGTGGTTCAAATCACAGACCTGGCAGCTTGTTTTCTTACTTTATCTCTCTCCCTCTCTCTCTCTCTTTCTCTGTCACTCTGTCCCTCTCTGGTCAAATAAAAATAAATAAAGTTAAATAAAATAATTCTCAAAGAAAAAAAAACAACCTGGGGCTAGCATTAGGGCACTGGACTCCCACATGGCTGACCACCTATCAAGTCCCAGACCTAGCGGCTAACTTCCTCACTGTCCCTCTCTCTCTCTCTCTCACTCTATCTTTCTCTGGTTAAATTAAAATAAATAAAAAATAAATAAAGTTAAATAAAACAATTACTAAAGAAATAAAAAGAGATTAATTAATAGACTTCACTGCATCATCACAATAACATTAGTTTAGGCTGAAACACCACAGGTTGTTGAGACAAAAATCCGAGTAAGCTTCCTTATTCTACTTCTAATGTGCTTCATTTTGCTTATAAATTGAAAATATAATTTTCATGCAGAAAAGCACACGTATCTTAAGTGTACAGATAAACACATTTCTGCATACATATTCACCCAGTGTGCTTTTTGTTTGCTACCTTCTCTCTCCTAGTGGACTTCTTTCTCCGTCAGGACCTATAATTGAGGCCTTAACCAAGGCAAAGGGGTGACACGGACAGTCTTTTGTGCTTTAGTGACTCAGGCTCTCTCAGTGTGGCCCCTACCGTTCAATGCAACATAACTGTCCTGTGCCCTATGCCTTAGGTATCTGAAAAAAAATAATTTAGGGTAAATATCAATGGCTAATAGTTCAAGGTTCTGTATGGCCTTTAATAGGGAACATCTCAATTCCTTAATCTGGAGGGAAGATTAGAATAGAAGAGGAAACTAACAAGAGAGGTATTTGCATAGAGTGGACAGTAATCACACTGCCTTTAGTCAATCCAGGTCATTGCTGACACATCAGGAATGCTGAGCTGGCAAATTATATATATAGAGAGAGATATAGATTCCATATATATATAGAGAGAGAGAGAGAGAGAGAGATATTTCATATATATGTGTATATATCTAGCTATATAGAGAGAGTCCATGTACGTGTGTACACATATATATATAGAGAGAAAGGGAATAGATATATAGTATAGTTATATATGCAGTGTTTATATATAATGTATATATTTATCATATATATCTTAATCAGATCATTAAGACTGATCTTAAACACATAAAAATGATTCCTGGAAACTGGAGACGAGATAAGATCAGTGACTTCCCTATGTTCATACTTACAAAATGATCACTTTTAGTAATTGTATCAATGCAGATACAATTTCCTTTATACCGAAATGTAGAATAAATATCTTCAGGAGAATTTTAAAGCAATGTTTGGGGAAAATAAGGCCGATTATAAAATGTTAATACAACATATTTATGAGACAAATGTACTTTGTTTATAAATATAATTCATACTCATATTTTTTAGATTTTAATGAAATGCTGACTTTCAGAGTGCAGAACAACTTTGCATTTTGTGTTGATTAGGCTAAGTGCTCTTTATGAAACAAATAAACACTATCTACATACATTTTTATTTTTATTTAAAGATATATACCTGATAGTATCAGAGGTCACTGAGATTGGAATAATTTGGAATAAGCAATTTTTAAAGACCATCTGAACAATAGGGAGCCTCCAAACAGAAATGTCTGTGTCACATGATGCTGTTTATCCAATATCTAATATTGGAATATTTACATTTTTCCATGATAAGAAGGAAAATTATGCTGAAACACCTGTGTCCATAACAAGCATTTCTACTTTATTTTTCTAAAAGGGCAAGAGTAAAAATGAACTATTGTGTTTTTACTGACTCATGACTGAATTTATATTAAAAGTAACACCTCATTCCCCCCCCCAATTTCCCAATGACTAAATAAAGCTTTAAAAAAATTACATGTATTTCTGTATGATATAAAGAAACCTTCTGTAAAGAAATCGTTTTTCAAGTCTGCTTTTCAGACATCAGCTGCATGTTGTAATGTCAGTTTTTAAGAAGGAATGTTACAAATGAATCATTTGTCATCAAGGTGAAAGTAGAAACATCCATTTACTATGATAGTTACAAGCAGCCAAGTCAAACATAGCAGGTTAATTGTAAATATCATCCATGATTTTCTCAGCTTCTTACAAGGAAGAACGAGATAAAATCACACTTAAGCTTAATCAAGTATAATATGAGCAAATAGTGTCTGTCACTTGAAAGCAGCACCCGTCACCGCTGAAGGGGTTATAAGCAATTATAAAACATTATATCACAAAATTTAGAGTGAAATGCATGATGTTTTCAAAACTGAGAGTTGCACTTACCTCTCGTTTTTGATTGTTACTACTTAAAACCAATGATGTATTTTCACTCTGAAGTTCTCCCCTTACAGTAAGATTTAAGCTGGAAAAACGTGTCTGAAAGGCAAACAGGATTTGTTTTTCATATATCATGCCAACAGAAATAAGAGCTAGTCATGTATGAGCTACACATTTACTGTTTGAAAGCTAGTAATTTTTTTTTCAGAGATTAAAAACACTATTTTTGTCTACTTCCAAATTAGGCCAGCAGGTGGCGTAGTGGTTAAGGTGCTGGAACCCGTAGCATCAAATAACAGCTGGGTAGCCATTCTCATTCCTTTACCTATCCCAAAGCCTCTCTTAGATCTTTATTAAAGAATGAAAAACATTTCTAAGTAATTTCTATTGAGATTTATTTCTAGAAAAAAACAGATTTTAAACTGCCTACCTTTAAAATAGGTGGTCATGAAATAGATACACTCTTGGAATAAGGTATATAAAGGCACTTATTTAGAATTAAACATGAAATTGCCAACATTAGAGAGGTATTTATCCCTTAAGGTACAAAGAAAAAGCATAAAAAAAATCTTTTTAAAAAGTATGTATCTGGAAGGAGACCATGGAAATAACTCAGTTATTAGCAGACGGGGAAGATGCAGCCCACATTGCTGGTGATTAAATAGGGGTGAGGTTTAGGGAATATTCTCTTAGACTCATATTCTCATGTTCTTTCCACGGCAGGCTTGTGCTTTGTCTATTCTAAGTAGTGAACAAATATTTGCTGATTTGATTCAATAATTGCATAGAATGCTGCAATCACTTACTTTTATAAAAGTTGGTTTCCATAAGATAAGTGAAACATTGACTTGGCTCACTTCAGAAGGAATAAGATGACACGTGATGACAGCAGATGTACATGTTCTGCAGTCCTGTTTAAATGTTCAGAGGTCCTTATTAGTATTCTTGCCATTTGATCAAAGATTATAATAGTTCGGCTATTTTTTTTGGCTCTAAATTGAATTAATTCACTTAGAAAGTATAAGGTGAAAATAGTGCTTGTCTTCACTTACCGGAAATGTGCCTCGTTTGAGGTCTCCAAGTTTGGGTATTTTCTTTCCAGAGTTGATACCAAGAGGATCCTCAAGGCTATGGGGTCTGCAATTCACATTCTGAGAAATGAAAAATATTTCTTTTATGAGGCAATACCAAACCTCAGAGGGAAAAATGATTTGGTGCAGCGATGTGAAGAATCTACGAAGGGTGCAGGGTGGAAGAGGTGATGATGTATGAACCGGCCATGCCCGCCCATCCCCAGATCAGAATTGCTCTTACCATGCCGCTTTTGAATGGTAATGAATACCAGCGAGGTTGTCATGGAAAAGAAAAGATGCTAGTAGAGCTTGCTATTAACATGAGCTATCAATTTACTGTTTTCAGCAAGGATTAGCTTATAAATTCCCATAATGTAGAATGAGAAAAAAATTAAAATGAAAAGGTTAGTATTTGTTCTTAAATGTGATGGCTCATATCATGGCTTCTGAAACAGAATTGGAAAGAGATGGACTGTCATCTGTATTTATGCATTCATCCAATAATATTTTTGAAGCTGTACACACCAAGGGTAAGATGCTTGGAGTGCGGGAAGAAGATGTAAGTGGACAGCCCTGTGGCTGTAAAAATGCTATGCTTATCTTTGGTTCTTGGATTGTTTCTAGGTACTTCATCTAATCAACTTTTTGGTTCCCCAGAACTCTCTACATCATTGATAAAGGGTAATAAGTATAAAGTTTCCTAATATGAAAAGTACAATATTTTATCTTTCTTGATTCTTACAAACCTGCTTTTTTTGAATTAGAGTGAAATGCCGAGGTTTCTTTTTTTTTCCTTCCCCTTAGGAAAACATTTAAATGAGTATAAGCCAACCACATTTGTTGCTATTTCATGATCTCTGAGAAGACTCAAATTTAAAAAAAGAAGTCTGAAAATAAGACAGATTTTGTCAAGGGCTGAAATAACGCATGCATGCATTAAATTCTTATTACTAATTCTAATAATTAAATACCATACGGTCTCATCCAATTGCTTCAGGTACGAAGGAGGTGCTATTTTATGTGCAGCTGTGTGTACTTAGCAATAATGAAGTCTATAGCGTTATTTGACCACCTCAAACAAACTAAAAGTGCAACAAACATTTCAGGCATAAAGAAAACGTTAATTACGTAACATCTACTCTGCTGGATTAAATAGTAACCCCCACCGGATATGTCCAAGTCCTACCACTGGCACCTGTGAATGTGATCTTATTTGGAAATTGGTCCTTAGAAGATGTAATTAGATTAAGGATCTCTAGATGCAATCAGCCTGGATTTAGTATGGATCCTAAATGCAATGATGATCATGCAGAAACACATAAAGAAAAGGAGAACACACAGAAACACAGGGAGGAGGACTGTGTTAAGACAGAGGTAGAGACGGGAATTTTGCTGCCCAAGCAAAGAATGCCAACAGTTGCTAGCAGCCACCACAAGCTAGGAGAGTGGCCTGGAACCAGCTCTTCCCTAATAGCCTCCGGAGAGAACCAGCACTGTTGACACCTTAACTTTGGACTTCTGGCCTCCAGAACTATGGTAATTTCTTACAGTAGCCCTGGGAACTAGTACATCTATTAAATAGTCAGTGGAAGTTACTATTATTAAAATTTTTTCTAAATGTCTCTTCATGTTACTTTGGTTATATGCTTCATCACAAGTGACATGCAGAACAAAAGGCTTAGACACAATTTGAAAAAGATAATGGTAAGAACCTAGTTCCAAGGCACACATAACTTACATCAGAAGTCGACCATCCTGTTGGGTACAGCACAGGAAAACCATCTGATGTTAAATTGGGGAATGAAATTGACAGCTTAAGTTCTGGCATTGGAAAGTGTCCACTTTTTTTAATCTATGAAGAAAAAAAAAAGAAATATAATCCTATCTTCCTCTTTTAGGTGTAGTGTTATTTTTTCTTTTTAAATTTATCTTTTCTTTCTTCTTTTTTTTACATTTAATGACTGAACATCTTTACGGCATACAAAATGAACTTTCCAGGCATGAAAGTACTGCATATTAGCCCAGTCTAAGATGTCACCATACACATTATCATCAATAAATAATTTTCCATTTTCGTATCTTCCTCTTTTAACCACATCTTTTCTTAAGCAGGACCGTTTTTTTTTTTTTTAAAGTTTATGTTTATTCACCATAGAAAGTATATGCATATGTGAGAGAGAGGAAACATTCCCCAATGGGACCTGGTTGTGCTGCAATCCTTTTTTCTCCAATTCTCTATCCTAACAAGATCTGAGCATGCATGTGCAAGCTTGGTGTGAAGCCAAGGGAGCTGCCCCTGGTGGGCCATGTGGGTACAGATCACTCCACATAGCCCCTAACCTTTGTGTTGCTGATACAGCCCAACACTTTGGTTCTTAATGAATGGTGAGATATTTTGAATCCCCAAATGAATGCAGTTTATGGCACTGCACAGAAAATAGACATACTCAGGCTAGCAAGAAAGTACAGATGTTTAATGGTCAGTGGACACATTCATCAGCTGTAATCATATTGTTCACTCACCCTAGCCCCTACTCCCAACATTGGACATGGATTAATAGAAAATTGGGAAAAAAATGTTCTCTTATTCTGAATTTGTTATGCCCATCGTCCTTTCTAACAAACCAGTCTTTTGGCATTGGAAAGAAGTGAAATGATTTACCTGATATACATGGAACGGTTCAGTGTGATTTTGTTTGCCTTAACCCAGTTTGCCATACTTCCCTAAAGCCAGAAATCCTCTCTCTCCCTAGCTAGATGGGATCTGCCACTGCTGTGCAGAGGGCGAGACAGCCGTCTATTTCCCTTTCCAACTCTATCCCCAGGGAGGGATATCATGTCACTGGCTGTTGACAACCAGTCTCATGGGTCAGAGCAAATTTCATCTCAGTTTCCATTAGTTTTAATCCACTAACCAGAGTTCCCACTTACGATCACACTGTGCTGCCAGGGTTGAGGGCTGCTTACAGGAAAGGACGGGCAGGATGAAGTTTAGCAGCAAGCTGAACTCTCTATCCAGAAGTCCTTGCCTGCTTAAAAGGTGTAATTGAATTAGGGCAACCAAATGCAGTGTCCTTTCTTCCCACTGCTAGAGCATAACCTCCAAGCGCTAAGCATTCCCTATGGCCGGCCTGGGCAGCATCTTTAGCTGAGTAGGGAACTCCTGGATTTATAAAGATGGATGCCAGAAGTACACTGACCCATCTGAGTCCTCTAGACAGAGCTACTCAGATCTGGAGCAATTTCCCATGCTTACCAAAGAACAAATATATTCCTTAACCCTAGAATTCTGAAGATTTCTGGTCAGCTGTTCCTGGCCTCTGAAAACATGCTCTTGGACTGTTACCATTTTATGGAAATATGCCCTGGGATTGTGGGTATGGCCACCTAGTCAAATTTCATGTTTCCTGGTAGGTCATAAGCATTCATGTATTTTGTAATTATCATTTTTCAATTAAAAAGTATTCCTTATAGGAACATTGACAAATATTGAAAATAAACAGGACATAAAACTTAACTACCTTGGTAACATTTAGCATATAAGTCACCTGTGTTCATTATTTGCATACATGCGTATTTTATAAAATTTGTATTACATAAAATACAAAATTTTGTACCCTGTCTGTAAAACTTATGCTATGCCATTTCCTCATCAGTTTATAAGATTTTTGAGATTATGGTTGTAAATGGCTAAATAACAACACAGTTTCAATATTTATCATTGACTATACGCCACGTACTGCTAATATTCTGTTTTGCATTACTGTCTTTAACTCTGTTAACAACTCTGAGAAGTAGATTCTGTCTTATCTGCTTTATCTATAGAGCAACAAGCTTGAAATGTGAATAAAAAACTTCCAAGATTACAGAGCTAATAAATAGAATTAGGGTTTCTTACTCCAAAAATGTGCCCTCTAAAATATAAAATAAACTGTCTATTTAATATATCATTTTTCATCAAAAATACAGTAGCTTATTTAAGTAATTTCTTGTAGTTGAGCTTAGATTATGCCAGGTTTTAATTTTTAAACTCTTATCATTAGCATTAAGAATATTTCTGAAATCTCTGTTTGTATCGCCTATCATTTCCTGGGGAAAATTCCTAGCAGTAAAGTTATTAAGTCACACCTAAAAGAGGTATTTTTTTAAAAAAAATTCCACTACTCCAATAAGAATTTACTCTAGCAAAGTAATGATAGATATATACAAAAATTTGTGCTCAAGGATGTTTTAAAGAATGTTTATGTTAGGAAATACCTATTTCAAATCTGTACTCTGGGAGTTGCAGAATATGAAAATCTACAACATTCAAAGTCTTTTTAATTTTCTTCCTTTCTTGTTGTTTGCGGAATTATGTTACCTAGGAAAAGTGAATGAGGCTAAGAAACCTGATAGCCTAAATTCTGAAAATTTATTCTAGAATCTATAGTATGTTGATGACATTCCAACAACTGATTTCTAGAATATGGCTTGTCACAAGAATTTCAACAAAGAGCACAAATAAAAACAATGGAATTCATTTTGAGAGTATACATTTATTTCTACTTCATTAGAGAACTTCCTTTTTCATTTTTGGCAATTTCCAAAGAAACTGAGACTATCTTAATTTATAATTATGTTGCCTTTTTTTTTCTTTTGAAAACATATTTAAATCTATCCTTTGAATTGGACTCTTTTCTTCTTCAGTAATATTAACTTGAGTCTATGCTCATGTAGGTATTACCTAAAGTGAAACTCCTTGATTATTTGCTGTGGTGGTTAGAAAAATTTTATCATGAAGGAAAAATAAATATAATGGAAAACATCACTGAAGAAGGTAATAGTATCAACAACAGTTATTTTCCAGTAAAATACATAAGAAATGAGTGGAGTAAGATTCATTTTTGTTGCATAACAGAAAATACCACCAAGACATTCAGAGAATCAATTTCTGAAATAGTTATAATTATTAAAAAAAGTGTTTCTCAGTATTATTAAACAAAAGTAAGTAAAGTCTACGGTTTTATATGTACTATCTACTTGGTTCCATAGTTTATTTTTGTTTTAGGAAGTCATTCTAATTAACTTTGTCTTATAATAATAAAAAATAGAGATTTAGTCCTTTAAAAGTGGATTCAAAGCATAATTAACATCAATTTAAATAAATATATATTTTTCATTGCCAGAAGGCACCTGTATGTATCTCAGAAAGAGAGAGAGAGGGAGAGGGCCCTAAAGGGGCCTTGTAATGCCACAATCTCTTCTCCATTTCTTCATCCTGTTGGAATTTGGAGAATGCCATGTTCCTGGAACTGGGGCTGAGATTTGAACCACAGTCAGCTATGTGGGATTCGGCTCCCTTAACCACTAGGCTTCAGGACCAGCCCTAAATGTATATGTTTTAAGATAGTGACATTATAAAGAAAAATAGGTTGAAATATAAAGATCAAATCATGTTTCTAGGTGTCTGTTAATACTTTAATTTATAAATTAACAAATAACTCATTATAATGCTAAATTAGAGGCAATTCTTACCAAGTAGAAGATATTAATTTCATTTCCAATGTCCTCAGTAGAATTAATAACTTCAGGGACTGTTTCATTGGCCTCAATTGAAATGTGGTATTCACTTGCAGAACTTAAAAGAATTAATTAGAAGAAGAAAAATGAAACAAAACAAAGTTTAACTTTTATTTGGCCTCATTCTTTTTTCCCTCCATATCAGGCAATCCTATAAAAAGACTTAAAGAGACTTTAAATCAGAGAGAAAGTCTTTCACCCCAAAACTTAAATTTTTGAGGAGGATAAGAAAGATTATATAATCTAGTTAAATAGTCACTCATGTGTGGTGCCTCTTAAATGCTAAAATATGTGTAGATTTTTAAATAGAAATTTCATTATTAACAAGTGAAAAGTTTCCAAAAAGTCACTAATATTATTCACATGTAATGAATAATCAAGCTAGCACTTGGTATTTTAAGTAGTACTGAATTTTAAATCGATTCTAAAAAGTTACCTTTCACAATTTTAAGTCCTATATTTACTGCTAAATTTAAAATTTCAATCTCCATACACTTTCTCTACATTTTCTTTATGAACATGGTAGAGTGAAATAACATATTTTTAAGCAACTGTTAGCTCAAGACTAATAAAAAAATTATAAGTGCTTGCCAAAATTAGATTTTAAGTAAATGAAAGGTTCTTAGGAAAAGGTAGCACATCATTAGAAATGGGTGTGTCAAAGCAGAAGACAGTCATCAGAATTTAAGAGCTAAAAAATATAAGCAAAATCTACATGTACTTTCTATAATCCTCTCATTTTTGCAGTCTCATCAGTAAAGAAAATGTGCCATAGAAAATATATTAATAAAATGAGAAAACTTTTGGACTAAACTGAACTTGCCACTGATTCTTACACATTTTGAATGCATCACTTTTTTTTTTTTTGACAAAAACTTAAGAGTTCTGCTTAAGCAAGAGAATGTACAGAGGGAAAGTTTTCTAACATAATTGGTGTCTGGATAAATAGAAAGTTCTTAAAAAAAAGTATGGTTTATGACAAGTGGAAAAAAATAAATAACTCTGATCAATGAGAAATTTTAATCTTCAGCCTTCAAAATGAGCAGGCTGATCAGATCCCACAGGACGAGAATGATGGCCAAGAAATATTGCAGTGACCTCTAAGAAAGCATTCTTTACAACAGACTTCTAGATCTTTGGCCTACATGTAGGGGCTAAGACTGGGTTGCTCACACAGTTCAGTATCACTAGCATCTTGTATTTTGAACCATTTGGTATACTGGTTCTCAAGTGTTAGGGTGTATGAGAATTATCTAGGAGGCTTGTTTCACACACACTATGTGGTCACCCCCAGAGTTTCTAATTCAATAGGTTTGGGTTGAGGACAGAGAATTAGTCTCTCAAACACATTCCCCGGTGATGTTGATGCTCGTGGCCAGGGACCACTCTTTAAGAACCACAGGGTTAACAGATAAGTGTCAAGAGAACAATGTGGTCTTCTCCTACCTGTAAAACTGCAGACCAACTTCATATTTTACTGGAATAGAAATGTTTACTTCATTATCAAAAAGGGTTTCAGGAGGTTCTTCACTGTCACTAAAAAAGACACAGCACATTCCAACAAATCATCAAACTATTAGCTATTCAGACATTTCTAAGCACTTGAAAGAGAAACTTATGTTGGCAACTAAATAAAAGCACAACAGAGTAGAATTCTTGATTATTTTAACTTGTGATAAGGAAGTAGCTCAGAGATGGGTCTTGCTAAAAGTTCTCAGGTCGATTCAAGAGCTAAAAACTGTCCCAAGTCAGCCCAGTGTGTCTCAAAATTCTGTGCCAATAATGATAAGAATTTCTGGGTTTACTTGTTCAAAAAACACAGATCACTGGGCTTCTCTGTTATAATGTGTCTTTAGTAGGTCCAATTAGTGGCCCAGAAATGTGTGTTTTTAATAAAAACCACCCCAGCTGATTCTTTTTATAGTTATCCTAAGTGAGGAAGGGCCTTGTAAAGCGATGCGACGGGTCATGCTGCTGAGAATAAGTCTAAAATCTTCAATTTTCTCCTTTAATAATCTTTCCATACTAAGTACTTGAGGTATTTATATTTACCTATTCATGGGGAGAGTAACATGAATCTGTCACTCTTTTTTTTTTTTTTTTTTTTTTTTTTAAAAATTTTTTTTTTGTAACATTACTTATTTGAGACCAGCAGATGGTATAGTGGTTACATCGCTGGACTCCCATGTAGTAGACCAAGGTTTGAGTCCTACACCCAGCAACTTAAACCTCATGTCAGGTGCATGTACACGGATGCCCAAAATCCTGAGAGGAGAATGGAGGAGAAGGGATTTCAGCATGGCCATCCTGTATGGAGGGTGATTTCTCACTTTCTATCTCTCTGCCTCTGTCTTCCTGGTGAGCACCTGCACCCTTACAGGAAAAATCTCTCTCTCTAGAAAAAACAATTCTTTATTTAACCTTATTAATAATAGTTATTTACTATTATTACTATTTTAAACTTTGTTATAGGGCATGCATGCTCACCAGAGAGAGAAAGAGAAAGCTAGCTGCCCAATCTGGGACTTAAACCATAGTTGGTCATTCCGAATCTGGTGGCTCAATCACTATACCACCTACTTGTCTCTGTCACTTTTTTTTTAATTAATTTTTTTTTTCTTTATTCGCAATAGAGCATGTGCATGCATGCGAGAGTGAGAGAGGGAAGAGCACTCTTCACAGTGTCTGGTCACACCGTGATCTCTTCTAGTCCTCCAGCCCATCCAAACTTATATAAACACATGAACTGTATATGTGTATACAAAATATATATATATGTCTCATTCTCCCCTGTACAAAAAAAACATTTATGGGTGATATAACTTATAAACAACTGGCTCTGAGGCCAGAGAATGGGATTGTTCTTAGACACTGATACACTTTGGACAAGCTTTTAAATCTCGCTGTGCTTTGGTTTCTTCATCTATAAAATGGGAATTTTTATCATTAAGTGATTAACAAATAATGATTAAATGAGTAAAATGTGCAAAGTGCCTAAGGTTGTGCCTAGGACATAGGAAATACTCAAGAAGTGTTAGCTTCTATTGTTATTACCACACACAGTCCTGGACACACCTATTGTATTGCGTCATGGATGGCCACAAGTATCCTTTAATGACTCTGCTTGTTCCCAAGCATAGAAGGTAGTTCGGTATGAGCAACAGAGCAGTGAAAACAGCACACCACCTTGAGTTAGAGGTACTGGTGTGATCCAGCTCTTACTATAAAGATCCCCTTCTATCTCATCTATTCCACACTGCAGCCAGATTAATCTTCATAAGAAGCTGCTCTATGGGACAGCAGGTGGCGTGGTGGTTAAGGGTGCTGGACTCCCATATGGCCAACCATGGTTCGAGTCCTGGACCTGGTGGCTTGCTTTCTCACTGTCCCCCCTCTCTTCTCTCTCTCGCTCTGTCCCTCTCTGGTTAAACTAAAATACAATAAATGAGTAAACAAATAAGGTTAAATTAATTCTTTAAAAAAGAAAAACAAGAAGTGGCCCTGTACATCTACTTCACCTCTCAAAAACTTTTCGGGTTCTGCATGACTTGCTCAATTAAAGAAAAAAGGCCTGCACTGATATTCCGTACTTAGCCTAATGTAGTAGGATGCACACTTCTTGTTTACTACCTATTTCTGACTTTATGTATTTTTTATATTTCAGTTAGAATTTATTAGCCAATATTCTACACATCGATCAGCTGATCTGTTTGCACTTTCGCTCAAGCAGTATGTTTTTTTCTGAAAAGCTTCACCTAATCTACTCACCAAGTTTTCTGTGAAATGCTGTAGATCTTTTATAGTCTTTTTCAATTATAATTTTCTTGATAAAGCTTTCTTGGGTTCTCATTGCCAAGTGGATATAGTTTCACCCTCCATCATGTTTATAACATATGGTTTATATTTCTATAATAGATTGTCCTTACTCTACCTTGTATTATAGTAATTTTTTTTTTAAATTTTTTTATTTTTATTTTTTATTATCATCATAATCTTCTTTATATTGCCTTGGATTACATATAACTTTACAGTGTATTACATTGTTTTTTCAAAAGGGAATGCCATGCATGTCAGTCAGTACAGAGACATTAATCTCCCCACTTCAACATTCAATATCTTTTCTATGTTTTCTCCAATCAACTGATGAATGGATTGGAAAAGTGTGGTATATACCTTGTATTATAGTAATTTTATACTCGTCTCAACCCCCCACTATAATTTTCACCTCATCAGAAGGTTCATGTCATTAACAATTTTTATATTCTCTACAATGGCTAATTCAATATCTCATCTATAGTATCTATTAAATAAATATTCGCTGAATTGAATGGAATTGAAAATACAGAATTAATTCATTCTTTAATTTTTCTCAATCATTTATTTATATCTATTAGGCCATTGGGAAAGTCATGACATATTTTTCTATGCAAAAATGGATCATGACTTTTTTTTTTTTATTTTAAGAGAGGTTTTCGCTATAGGGCGCATGCGCTCGCCAGACAGACAGAGACATAGAGACAGAAAGCGAGAAATCACCCCCCAGGGGGGATGGTCATGCCGCAATCTCTTCTCCTCCATTCTCCTCTTGGGATCTTGGGCACGCATGCACACGCGCCCGGCGTGAGTTTTAAGCCGCCAGGTCCAGGACGCGAACCGTGGTTGACTATGTGGGAGTCCAGCAACATAGCTATTACGCTAACTGTTGGTTCCCGGATCATGACTTTTCTGACAACCCAACATTTAGTGATTATTCTGTGCCAGGCACTGTGCTAGTTTCTTAGGGATAAAGCAATGAAAAATACAACTTGATCTCACTGAAGATGGCCCAGTGGCTAAATATAGTGGTTAAATACACTCAGAAGAAAGTTAAACCATTATTTCAATTTCCCTGTTATCCTTTTTCTTTCTTTTCTTTTTTCTTTGCTTTGCTTTTCATTCTTTAAATTGGCTATAGAGCACGTACACTCACTCACCAGAGAGAGACAGAGAGAGGAAGAGAAAGTGAGAAAGCACCCCCATCTCAGGAGGGATGGCTATGCTGCAAATTCCTTCTTGTCCACTCTCCTCTTGGTATTTTGAGCACACATGCACATGTGCCTGGTGTTTTTTTTCAAGCTACTAGGTCTAGGACTTAAACCTCACAGTGGACCCTGTGGGATCCAACTTCTTTAACCCTTACTCCACTAACTGGTCTGCCTTTTGCTTTTTCAGCCCATGTGTCCTGTGACATTTTTCAGGAGCTTTGACTGGTCTGGATAAAATTTATTTAACTCAGGGGTATTGTAAATCCATATAATGATTGAGTGGACATTGATGGGCAATTGGTAAAATATTTTAAATGAACAAAGCTTATAAAATTTTAAATGAATTTAGATGCAATTTAGCAGAAAAAAAAGTGATGTGTGATTACAATATGTTCTATAGCTCATATAATCAATGGTTTAATCCAGTTGGGTGGATAGTTTCTACTAAAAGCAAATTTATTCTACTAACTAATCAAAGGAGATTTTTTGTGAAGCCAAGTGGCTCACTGCCTTCTACTTCTGCTGATCTTAGACAAACTGTAAGAATCTGCAGTGAGTCTGTAAAGCAGAATATTCTAAATAAATGAAAAAATTATATATATGCACATACATTCACTCATATATACATATAAACCAACCTTGTTGCACTGAAATGAATGATCACATTTTCCATGAGATATGACGTGTTAAACTGGAATAATATTTTGAAAGAGACCTGTAAAATGAAAATATGTATCTTTAGTGGCAGATAAAGACAGTGTTTACTTTAATTAAATTATTCAGTTTACATGCATATGACCTAAACTTAAATTACGATGTCACTAAAGAAATATTTTGTTATAAAATAAAACTTTACCACATCTCAAATATAGATAGGATAAGATATGATATACATGTAGTTTTAAATATGAGTATGTAACATGCTTTACATATTACTATTGTCTGAATGTTTGTATTTCTTCATAATTCATGTGTTAAAATCTATTGCCAATGTGATAGTATAGGAGGTGGGACCCTTGGCCAAGTAATGAGATTAGTGTCCTTATAAAACAGGTCCCAAAAAGTTGCTTTTTCCTTCTGTCATCCTAGGTTACAATGAGAAGCCACCATATAAGAACCATGAAGGTGGCCCTCACTAGACCCTGAATCTGCTGGTTCCTAGATCTTGGACTTCCCAACCTCCAGAACTGTAAGTAATGAGTCTCTCATAAGCAACTCAGTTTATGGAATTTTGTTACAACCACCTTTTAGGACATATATTAATATTTAATTTAAACACTCTAATTTAAATTATATTAATATAAATAATTTATATTAACCATAAACAATTATCATGAAGGTACAAACTACTTATTTTATTACATGGATTGAGTATCCTTATCTGAATGCTCAAAACCAGAAGTGTTTTGGATTTCAAAGTTTTTGGATTCTGGAATATTTGCATATACATAATGAGATATCTTCTTTGTGGGACCCATGTTTAGACAGGAAATTCATTTATGTTTTATATATAATATAGCCTGAAAGTGATTTTACTCAGTATTTTTGAATTATGGCAATTGACTGCAACCTATCACATGAGGTCAAGTGTGAAATTTTCTATTGTGGCATGATATTGGTGCTCAGAAAGTTTCAGATTTTGGAACATTTTAGTTTATGAATTTTCAGACTAGGGATCTCAATTGTATTACCATAATTTATCAGCTCATAACCATAAACAATTGTGAAATTATCATAATTAAAGCCTATTTAGCATGCAAACTTCAAATACCAGCAACTATCTGCACATATTCATTATAAAATAGAGGAAAAAATACTTGATTCTATTAATTTGATCATGTAAAAAATGTGGACTTTTAAGGAATAACAACAAGGAAATAAAACAAAGCGAAAGACTTGGTTATTTAGAATTAGCTAGATTATAATGAAAAAGTTCATTTTATTTACAAAGGTTTATGTAGTTAAAATAATACTACTTAAGAAAAACTGGAAATATTTTTATTATGCTGACACTCTGATACAGGAACAGCCGTTTGTGAAACTATGCCTGAACATATGAACTACATCATTCATGACTTTTCATAAACACCAATAAGGCAAAAACCAAACCTAATAGGCTAAAACATCAATAGATCAAAAACTAAATTATTTGTTCAAATAAATATGTCACCTACAGTGGTCTAGTACAAGAGGCCTCATATTAATGCTTATGACATGTTTTCTGTTCTTAAAAGCTAACCTTTTGGGGAACCAGCAGTTAGCGTAATGGCTATGGTGCTGGACTCCCACGTAGTCGACCGCGGTTCACGTCCCGGACCGGGTGGCTTAAAACTCACGCCGGGCGCGTGTGCGTGCGTGCCCAGGATCCCGAGAGGAGAATGGAGGAGAAGGGATTGTGGCGTGACCATCCCCCCTGGGGGGTGATTTCTCGCTTTCTGTCTCTATGTCTCTCTCTGTCTGTCTGGCGAGCGCACGCGCCCTACAGTGAAAATCTCTCAAAAACAAAACAAATCAAAACAAAAAAAAAAAAAACAAAAAAAGCTAACCTTTTGTGCAAACTGCAGTATTGTGGAATTAGGGCCAGCAAAATAGTTAGTCCAAAATCCATAATTAGTAGAAACTGAAAAAAATTTTATCTCTGTGGGCAGGTGCTAGCCAGGAGAAGTTTTGATATTTCAAGATCTTTTAATCAACTTAGGCTCCATTCACAGATGAGATGACTAGAATTCAAGGATCATTAAGATTTGCATGGTTGTAACATATTATGTTTTCTTTTGTATTTTCTTCTCCCACATAAATTTCAACTTACATTTAAAAAGAAAAGAGCTCTAAGAATCTGTAGTCTCTACAGTGCTCTTCTTGCTTTGAAACAGTAACACAATTCCAGAAGAAGCTTAATTGCGTAAGCTTGAACTATGCTAGATAAAAGGTCCAATTGCCAGTCTCTTGGTGAGTTCCTTCCCAGTATTGCTTATTTATTTATTTATTTATTTAGAGAGGTTTTTGCTATAGGGTGCATGTGCTCGCTAGAGAGACAGAGAGACAAAAAGTGAGAAATTACCCCCCAGGGTGATGGCCACACCACAATCCCTTCTTCTCCAGTCTCCTCTCAGGATTTTGGGCACACACGCATATGTGCCCGAAATGAGTTTTTAAGCAGCCAGGTCCGGGACTTGAATGATGGTCGACTACGTGGTAGGCCAGTGACATGACCATTACACCCTCTGCTCATCTGCTGGTCCCCCAACCATTTCTTAACCTCCCTGAGACTGGCCTGGACATGAAAATCTTTGCATTCTTCATGAGTGTTCACACCTAGGAAATACTAGCAGAAAAATGGGACTGAAGAGATTGCCTATTTTATGTGGACCTCATTCTGAATTACTTTGCACTGCAATCCAGATCTTGAAACTAAAGAATATTGTAAGCATAAAGCCCACATAGAAATTACTTGTAAATTATCTTCCCATTGCCCTTTGGATGACAGAAGAGCCACTTTGATTTAAATGTTTATCTAAACACCAAGGAACTGCTAAAGAGATGAAGAAATGGCTAAGAAATTGTCAAGAATGCAATAAACTTTTCTAGCAGTTGGATTAGTGCCTCGATCTGCACAGTCGAACATGTTTCCTGAGTGGGAGGGGCTGTGGATTAGAAATAAACATGGAAATAAACACACACAGACACACAAGTAGAGAAAAGCAGAGATTGGGTAGTCCAGACTCCTCTGATGGAGGCAGCCATGACCCCAAACCATTTCCAGGTTTATTCTGTTATAGGGCAAAAAAGGGGGGAAGAGGAAGTGGAATGCAAAGCCAGTTGTTTTCAGATGTTTATGGGCCAAGACTTGAAATCCCTGGTTCCTTGTAGTCCTATAGGAGTTTTATCTTCTCAGGCTTTCTCTGGCTAATGCAGAGTTTCCTTTAACCAACACTGCCTTGCAGTGTCGACATTGAGGCAGGTGCGTATTTTTGTTAACGCTTTCACTAGCCCTGCAGCCTCAGCATAAGTACCACGCTTCTAAATGTGTTTAAAGGTCACTACTGTGTTACTCAGATCCAGCTACACTACAGATTAGAACACTGAGTATGTCATTATCCTTTAAAGAATGGAAATAATTCAGTGGTGAATAGCAGTAGTTAAAGAGCAGACACGGTTGATATTTCTTATTTCCATGTTGAACTAGAGAAATAATGTATTTTTGTTACTGAAAATATGTGTTTTATAGATCTGTAGGG